TCTCACAGTTCATATTTAGTGTTCTCTTGCAAAACTTTCTAAAATAATTTTTTTTCTGCTTTAGACCCATACAGTATACATATTTTTGTTATACTAATCACTTGTGCATGTGTGACAGGCCACATTTTAAAATACAATGTGGTGTTTTACTTTCCTAAGTATTAAAATCTGATTTTTCTTTTTTGCTTTTTATCAGAGTATATGGCATCATATATGAAGGAATAACTGTTACTTAGCTTTATGTTTTGAATCTATATTAATCTATTTACTCTTTGCTTATGGCTTTTATTAACATTACTGTGCATGCATTAGTGGTCCTGTGCTTCTTAGGGGGAAAAAAATCCAAGAAGGATTTCATTTAGAATTCTTTTCCTATAGATTAATGGAAATAAATAAGTATAAACAATAAAACGAAAATCCCTCTGGACCCTTTTTTATTCTACCCTGATAGTATAACTTCTGCCAAAAATGCTTTTATTTCTGGTCCACCTCATTCTTCAGATAATACACGAGACGTCTGTCACTTCAGAGAGACTTTTTTTTTTTAAGATTTTATTTACTTATTCATGAGAGACACACAGAGAGAGGCAGAGACATAGGCAGAAGGAGAAGCAGGCTCCCCATTGGGAGCCAGGTGGGGAACTCGATCCCAGGACCCCGGGATCATGACCTGAGCCAAAGGCAGACGCTCAACCACTGAGCCACCCAGGTTCTCCCAGAGAGACTTTTTTAAGCATATATTATGTGTGGAATCACAATACACTGTTTATTTCTTTCAAAGCGAGTTAAAATTTGTGGATGTTAGTTTTATGTATTACTTTTGGGTGTTAACAAGGTCCCAGGATTGCAGAATCTGTGTGTATATTGTTCACTATCAACAGAGGAAGCCAAATGTAAACTTCCTGCTCTGATGTCAGGCCGGTTAGGGATGGAGGAGAGTCAATGAAGCATAGGTCTCACTACTGATACCCAAAGGTTGAGAAACCAAGCAGAGGTGAGCATGTGGAGAGAGACAAGAGTCTCTTGAGTAGCAATGTGATTGCTCCAAGGAGAAAATTGAGGGGAGGTTTGTGCAGGGAATGGACATCAGCATTACTGAAGCATGGACCACAGAAGCAGGATGACAGAGGAGGCTGCAGGGATTTACTAGCCCCAAACTTGCAGTTTCTTTAATCTATAATGAGATTAAACTCAAAGCACAATATCAGGATCACTTGACTAATTGGGATGTGATTTAATGGGAGATATTGGATCATAAACATAACCAAAATGGAAATTTGCCAAATATGTTTCTGCAATAACCTAAAGGATGATATTACTGTAGTGAAAATAGGTGTTTCGAAGTTGTAGGCAGTTGATATGGGGAGGCAGTGGCTCTGGGTTCAAATTTCCTTAATTCCCAAGCTCTGCTGACCCCTTTTACATGTATGACTTGGGCTGGTTACATTAGATCCCTAAGCCCTGATTTCTTCATCTCTAGGATGGAGATAATAGTAGCACTGAATATTTCCCTGAATAATATGAATATGATATAGAAATTTATTATAACCTTTATTACATGAAATTAAGAGCTTTTTTTGGTAAATTTCATTTATCTGTTGCTATCTCTGTTTTTTAAATATACCACCTCTCTTTCCAAAGAGAGAAAAGAAACTGAAAAAAAAATTATGCAGTAGTCCAAAGTGACATATTGGTGACTTTTTTTTTTTTTTTGACATATTGGTGACTTGAATAGCACTGAGGAAAACTGTCACTTTGCCTAAGAGACAGCCTGGGCCAGCCAGTTTGCAGGAATTTTTTTCCACTTTCTGGTCAGAAGGACTAACTGAAGTACAATATTTCTGTCTCCTCTTACAGATAAGGATAATGAGTCAAAGGTATTTTGACAAATTTATATAATTTGTCCAAGATCATCTATGTGGGAAGCAGAATCAGAGTGTGAATCAATAGAATCTGGAACTCAATGTCTTATACATTAAACTTATCTTTAGTGAAAAATAATGCTTAGCAATATTATTTATACAGAGTAGACCCTCATTTTTCATTTATTTGGTAATGTACAACATTAAAATACTTGCAGTCATCAGGGTAGCCGGGTTGTATGAACATTTTTAATAGCTCTATTGAGATGTGATTAATACAAATTATTGCACATATTTAATGTATATAATTTGATGAGTTAGAACATAGGCATGCACCTGTGAGCCCATTACCATGATGAGAGTAATAAACATATCCACCACCTTCAAAAGTTTCCTTGTGCTCCCTCACTCCTTTTTGTAGTAAGGACAATGCAAAATTCAGTGTAAGAGACCAAAGAGTCCATAACATTAAGATATTTTCTCATGCATCAAAGGCTTTGTACTACAACCACTGACAAATACTTTCACAGTTATTGAAATAAAACGTGAGGAGCATGCACATATGTATAGGGAAAATGAGTGCCTCGGTAGATACACATAAGGATTCAATATCCCCATTTACACTTGCTTGAGAAACACTTTAGAACAGGAAAAACTATTCAAGTTCAAGGACTGAATGATTAAACCCAACTCAATTTTGTTTAGTCAGATGTGAAAAAATACATAGTTAATTGGTAAGCAAGGTCTCCATGTACCAGAATCCAATTATAGACTCTTCAAAACACTAGTGAAATAAAAATTAATGAGACATTTTTAAAGACATTACAATTTTATGGTACTGATTTATTTTGAAAAATGGCAAGGATAAATTTAAATTTAATATGCTGAAATAACTTTCCTGTCTTTATTTTGGAATTCCAGCCAAAAAATATCAGAAATATCTTTAAATAGTGAATAACGAATACATATATATGTATATATATGTATATCTATGATATATGTTCACATATCATAAAATATTGCTTGTAAGAGTTCTTTATTTTCTTTTTTAATATTGAGCTTGGTTTAGTAATGGTCCAAGAAATTTGGTCAGCTATATTATCATTGCCCTCTGAATTGCAGTAAATGTAGGGAACAATTGCTCCAAATCAGCAGTAATTCAAATGTGCTTGGACATATACCAATGCTAACAAAAATAATTACAACCATGAATCTATATTATTATAAGTATTATAATAGAAAGTGAATTGGTTTGGCACCTCTACAGAACACGTGTTAAAATGTGTTTTTTACTTACAACTTGAAAGTGATATACATTTAATATTATATACTTTTTTTCTTACCATATAAAGACTTATGCTGGGGGTTCCTGGATGACTCAGTTTGTTAAGCAGCTGACTCTTGATTTTGACTCAGGTCATGATCTCAGGGTCCTGGGATCAAGCCCTATGCTGGGCTCCACACTCAGTGGGGAGTCTGAGAATTATATCACTCCTTCTTACTCTGCCCCTCCCCCAGCTCATACTTTCTCTCTAAAATAATAAAAGAAACTAAAAAAAAAAGACTTATTTATTTTGTAAGTTGTTAGTTTAATGACACCCCTTCAGTTGATTAAATGGATGGCTCATAAGGAGACAGTTTATGATCTGTTTTATATAGTTATATAAAAGCAAATAAAACAATGAGAGGAATTAATGTCATGTACATTAAATATTATTTATACCAATAAATCTTATTTGATAATAATGGGTAATATTATACCACCTCAGAACTTTATTAATTTATAGATTAACCTGCATGTTTTAAGCATTTATTAAAAAAATTCTACTTGCTGTCATCAATATGGCTATGTTGCAATATTGAATAAAGTAATGGGTGTACATACTGATAAGTAGGTCTGCTTTGACCGATTAATTTGTGTTATATATTTGGGAAGCTGCTTGTAATTCCTTTATAAAGCTTTGAAACTAAGACTACTCATTGTTATCTATGCTGGGAAGTCTTTTCATTTCTAGGAGACAGTTCATCGCTCCTTGAGCAGTGCTTCTTACAGAGCTTCCTACATACCGTAGCAACCCTGCACTGATTTGACACATAATATATACTAAAAAAAGATTGATTGAGTAAATAACTATACTTTTATAGTGTGAATATGTACTTTTAATTATCATGTGCTTGTCTCCCACTGAACTCCAAAATCTTTAAGAGAAAAACCATGTCTTATTCACAATATTTTTTTTAGAATTTATCATAATATTAACCATGGGATGAAAGTAATTCATGTATCAATCTAATGTCACTTTGAACTGGGAGTGACAGAAACTTCAACAATCACACCTTAAATAAAGTTAGGTAACCATTCTCACATTGTACGATAACCAGAGATTTCATGCCACAGTTCAATCATTAAATCAAGCCCTTTTCCTCTTTCTGTTCCATTATTTTAAGTATTATCAGGTGGCTGTTACACTTGCCTTCTTCCAGAATCATGTCTTTGTTTAGGCAGGAAGAAAGCAGAGGGAAAAAGTTTCTCATTTTGTGATTTTTTTTTTTTTGTTTTATAGTTGGGAAACTTTCCCAACAAATTTTCCCTCAAATCTCAGCCAGAACCTGATCCTATGCTAATGCATGGTCAATGACATGTAGGCCACCATGAAAGAGTTAGACCAATTAGGATTTAGCCCCTGGGATTAGAAAAGGGGCCTATCCTCCTGGAGATCAATAGATTCTGCCTTCCACTTAAATGGGTTGTGCTTGAATTAGCAGGGAAAAGAGGATCCCCGAGTAGTTAAGGAGTAGTGAAGGGACAATACAGATTACAGTAAATATTACCTGAAAAGAACTGGATTTGCTAAAATGAATTATTCATGTCGTATGCTATCCCCAATTGTATCTTTATATTTTTATTTGTATTCATTTGGCCAAATTTAATACGAGCAATTTCTGTTTCTTTGAGGCTAATTACAAATACATTAAGTTCTTCTGTATTTTTAGTTATAGTGGAAAAGAAAATATGCAATATTGAAAGATATATTGTTTTCATCCACCTTCTTTTTAGAATATAGGTCTTGCTCATTCCATTGCAATGGAAACTAAAATGTTAATTATGTTCTCTGTTTTAGACCCAAAAAGGTAAATATGAATTTAGATTCCATCCATCGGTTAATTGAAGAAACACAAATCTTCCAGATGCAGCAGTCATCAGTAAAACCACCTTGTGACATCGTAGCACCTGATTCCTCCCCCAGGGACACTTGTCATTCCTGTTTGCCACTTCAGGGGCTGCAATCACATGCTGCTCACAACTTCTGTGCACACTCGTGCAATACCAGTGAATGGAATATTTGTGAAGAGCTTCGCCTGCGGGAGCTTGAAGAAGTCAAGGCCAGAGCTGCCCAGATGGAGAAGACCATGCGGTGGTGGTCAGACTGCACTGCTAATTGGAGAGAAAAGTGGAGCAAAGTTCGGGCTGAAAGGAACAGTGCCAGGGAGGAAGGAAGACAGCTCAGAATAAAATTAGAGATGACAATGAAAGAATTGACCGAATTGAAAAAGAAACAGAGTTTGCCACACCAAAAGGTGTTAGAAACTACCCAGGACCTGAAGCATCCTAGTTTCATGGAAGTGTCCTCTGCACAAGGAGACCAATTTCAAATTGCTTCACAAACATGTAAGTCTATCAGAGAGTGTCTGGTGAAAAGAGAATTTCCTACAAAAGACAACACATATAGTAAGGTAAGAAAAAAGCTCCACAGAGGAATCCAGAGATTATGTGTGCATTTGAATGCAGTATACAGTAATGGGGAGGAAAGAGAAAATGACAAACCCAGTGATGACTGCATTTGCTTGCTTGGGCTGCCATACCTAGGTACCACAGATCTGGATGGCTTCAGCAACAGAAATCTATTTTCTGATAGTTCTAGAGGTTTAGGAATGTGAGATCAAGGTGTCAGCATGTTTGTTATCTTCTGAGGCCTCTTCTTGGCTTACAGATGGCCACCTTTTACTTGTGTCTTTACATGGTCTTTTCTTTGTGTGTGGTTATCTTTAAATTTCCTTGTAAAGACACTATCTCTAGGCCCACCATATTAACCTCATTTTAACTTAATGACATCTTTAAAGACACTGTACCCAATTCAATATCATTCTAAGGTACCAGGAGCAGGCTAAGACTTCAACATACCAGTTTTTGGGAAGAGACACAGTTCAACAGCCCATATTACTGATCTTAGTAATATTTTTAGCAAAATTTAGCATTTTTTATGTGAAAAGAAAATATTTAGAGAGATTTCTCTCCATTTACCCTCATTATGACAATAATAATAAATTGTTCATACAGTAGGTTTCATACAAAGGTTTGGGACTTTGGCTTCATGATTAATTCCTGTAAAATGGGTACTATAGGCAAATACCTTTAGGAAATGCTTCACATTATCCACTCGTGGAATTTCTTGATATTCTTAGAGTCTTGACATTTTTAAGAATTCTGCACAAAATAAACTTTTTAGAAGCTTTATCTAATATAGCAGTTTGTAACCTTATTTATCCATTTTCTTTAACCTGGTAAATACTGTTAACAACCCATGGAACATACTTTCAGAAACCTTAGGAATTCATTGTATTTCTTTAAATAATATCAATTTATATTGTTACTCCTTTCTAATTCCACCTCTAAAAATATAGAGCATGATATCTTGCTCTTCTATGATTCAATCTAAAATTTTAAACCTTTCTATTATGTATGGGATTTATGGTAGATATAACCTAGATTCCATTGTAAATAAAAAAGTTTTCATAGACTGAAATGTATTTCACTATAATGTAGAACATAGAAGGAAAAAAAAGGCTTAAGGAATGCAAGTTAAAGTTCAGTCATATATCTCAATTACAGACTGATGAAGAAATGAAAATAGTAATTGGATGGTGAATCATAATATTTATTTCCTCTCCAAAATATGTTTTCTTTATGTGTTTTCTACACTAGATTTAAAAAAATTAACAATAATTGTTTTATATTTTTTTCTTTTCAGGAAGAAGATTTGATTATTGACCAGTTAAGGTTAAATGAGATGAAACTTAATCTTAACAGCCCTGATTCATTCAAGAATGGTGGTACTGAAAACTGTACACTGAAATCTGCATTAAGACTGCAAGCAATAAACCTACCTTTGGAGAATGAAGTGTCTGAAATTTCAGCTTTGCAAGTGCATCTGGATGACTTCCAAAAAATTTTATGGAAAGAAAGAGAGTAAGTGCGAATCATTGTCTCCCTTAACCAAGTCTGATTTTTCAAACTTACTAAATTAAGTCTAGCAAACTGGCCATTTGATAATGTATTTTACCTATGCTTAGTCATTAAGTACTAATATTTTTTAAAAAAGTTTGATATGTATTCATTTTTGAATGTTTAAAATATTAAATATTTAATATGTAAGTATTAAATACACACACTACTGCACAGGCTGTGGGCCAAATGAGAAATCCAACAGCAAGTCAAAATATGTCTCAAAACACAGGAAAAAGAAAACACAATATTGTAAAACCTGTGAAATGTAGCAAAAGCAGATGTTAGAGTGAAATTTATGTTATAAATGCTTGTATTAAGAAAAAAAGTTCAAGACGCCTAGGTGGCTCAGCGGTTGAGTGTCTGCCTTCAGCTCTGGTGTGATCCTGGGGTGTCCGGATCAAGTCCCACATCAGGCTGCCCACAGAGAGCCGGCTTCTCCCTCTGCCTATGTCTCTGCCACTCTGTGTCTCTCGTGAATTAATAAATGAAATCTTAAAAAAAAAAGTTTAATAAATCACACTACACCACAAGAAACTAGAAAAAGAATGAACTTAGCTGAAATTTAGTAGAGGAAGAAAATAACAAAGAAAAATCAGAAATAAAATAGAGTCTAGAACAAATAATAACGTAACATCGAAAGTAATGACCAGTTGTTTTTAAAAAAATATAAACAAAATTGGCAATGCTTTAACTACATATACTAAGTAAAAGAGAGAGAGAAACTCAAAAACCAATATGAGAAATGGAAGAGAAAATAATACAAGAGATAACCACAGAAATACAGAGTGGGATAACATATTATCATAAACAGACTTAGAAAATAATAAAAAAAACAGATAATTCCTAAAAATGCACAAGTTACCAAGATTGAATCATGCATCTTGATTCCAATCTTGATCTTGATTTCCAAGTAGGAAATCTTTTTTGACCAGTAGCAAGAATGAAAGTTGAATTAAAAATAAAAAATCTTCCCCAAACAAAAAAGCCAAAGACTATATGGTTTCATTGGTGAATTCTACCAAATATTTACAAAAATAATTAATGACAAGTTTATCAAAATCTTACATATAAGAAGTCCTGAACTTACTAGGGAAAACCTATAAAGCTAGCTGGAGATTCCTCAACAAACTTGGCAAGCCAGAAGGGAGTGGCACGATATATTCAGAGTGCTGAGTGGTAAGAATCTGCAGCCAAGAATATCCAGCAAGGCTATCATTCAGAATATGAGGAGAGATAAAGAGTTTCCCAGACAAAAACTAAAAGAGTTCATGACCACTAAACCAGCCCCACAAGAAATATTAAAGGGAACTCTTGAGTGCAAAGGAGAGACCAAAAATGACAAAGACAAGAAAGGATCAGAGTAAATCTCCAGAAACAATGACAAAACAAGTCAAGTTCTGAATTTTGAAAAGTGATTTAAAACTTGTTAGTTTTTAGTTTTTATCATTCTTTTGTTATAACTTTGTTCTCGTCTCTGGCAAATTCACCTTAATTATATTTGAATCATTAATGTAAATGGCTAGAATAGCCAGTGGTTTTCACATTTCTACAGCATTAGCAGACTTCAGTGAATCAATACAAATGAAAAATATGTTAATATTTATAAGGGATAACTCAGTTTGTGAGTTACTGATTGCAGAAAAATGTGCTTTATTCATTGATCATTTGTGGTATAGAGCAAAGAAAACTAGACTTGAGATTAGATGACCTGGATATTTACCTTGGTTCTCACATATCCAGCTACATGATTTTGGGTTAGCCAAGATTGTGCTATTATTTCCTTTGTAAAAATATGGATAGTGGTGCCTATGTTCCAGTTATCTTTTGGTTTATAGCAACACTGCCCACACGATGGTTTGTGTTGAAACAACAGTCACCATATAATCTGTTCTTGAAACTTGAGCATGCTTTGTGTAGACAGCTCATCTCTCACTACATGTGGCTTCAGCTGAGATGGCTCAAGGCTGGAGATGACTTAAGGGCTGGGGGCCAAATCATCTGAAGCCTCCTCACTTACTCTCATATCTGGCACTTGATTTTGATTCTCCCCCTGGGGTCTTAGTCGGAACACCTGCAGGTGTCCTATCCGTTTGGCCACATGGATTCCTCACAGTGCCGTGGCTTGATTGAAAGCAAACATCTTGAAAGCACAGGGAAAAAAAAATGTGCTGTTTTAATTACTTTGTCTGAAAAGTCACATAGCATCACTTCAGCATTATTCACCAAATTATTATGAGGATCAAACACAAATATTGTCTGGGAAAGTGGCTACTGGTGTGAATTACTCAGTATGATTTATTTGTTATTCCTTCATAATCACCTTAGACAATGATTAGTTAGCATAGTGTGGAATATTTGAAACATGTTACAATATGGCCCCCAAATCTGAAAATCATTATTTCTCCACCTAGTTATAAGACTTTTAATGGGCAGGAAAATTTGGGGAAAAAATAGGTATAAATATTATTATATGTTATATAATAGTTTCAATTTTCCTAGTTTAAATAGATTGAAATAATGATAACATGCACACAGACCTTTCATGGATAGTATAAGCCCTTGATATGCCATTCTTTATCTGTTAACCAGAAATTTCTCTTTAGTCTCTCTAAATGTATTGCCCTACTAATTCCCTTTTTTCAGAGGCTTTATCTATACCTCGCCATATGAGTAGATTGTGATAATACAATCACAATACATTGTAATAATGTACCTGTCTATATAATAAATATTTCTTATTCTGTCATCAAGTATAAATTCCTAATAGATGCAATCAATATTAGTAGAAAGGAGAAAAAATTTGAATTAATTTTTAGGCCTGTACCCATATTAAAAATTAATTTTATCTGGAACTGTAGATCTCAGTCAAGTTCTAAATCTGTGTTTTATTTCTTGAAGGGTTTAACTTCTTAGTAGTTACAGACTTCTCTCACACCCACTCACACTGTTACTTCACTGACATAATGTAGTACGGACCATATGAAGCTGCTCCCTCCTACGTATAAACTCCCTGCGGTGCCAGTTTTAATGACACGCATGTGTATCTCTCTACACTCCCACTCAGACACACAGACGCACACGTATATATTTGACTCCCATGGAATAAATTAACAATCCCTATAGTAAGTAAATTCTTCAACTCTCTGGGACTTCAATATATAAACCATAATTGGGCCAGAGAAAAAGGGGGAAAGGGACCTCTGATTTCACTTTGTCTCTTCACTCTTCTCTCTAATAAACAGTCCCCATGGGTGTCATGTGTCCATGAATCAACATGAGCATGCAGTCCACGTGAGGCAATCAAAAAGCCTTTTCTCTATCACAAGAGACTGTTTCCCAAGGATATAGTATATGCTATTGCTATAAATCTGTCTAACCTTTTAAATTCTTCCTCCTGGAATCAGCAAGTTGATGGCTGGAGTTGAGAACATGTGAATATAATTTTTTCTATGTTCCCAGCTAATGGGAAAATTCTCTTGTCTAGGAATCAGCCAAGAGAACTCAGGGGATGCTTTTCACCATTGTCACTGATGACAACCTCCTTATCAAAAACAATAAACTTTATTATATTGTTTGTATTCTGAGTACTATTCAGTTTTATGAAAATAATTTTCCGGGATCTAGAAGCTCCTCATGTATTGAGAATTTGTGTATTTTTGATCTCTTAGATAAAGACTTCCCATGTGGAAAATATGAAGTGAGGATGGGAACCTCATCCACTTACAGAGCTAGGTGTACCTAGACATTTAGGGAGAGGGATTTTGGCAATGTCAGATCTTATGTAAAGGAGATGATGAAGTAAAAATATTTTCATTTAGAACCAGTTCTCAAAGTAAACTGCAGATGGCACCTGTATCCCTTAGAAAATGTTTGCACCATGCATTTAAGCAGAGCCTTAATCCTCACCTCACTATTTTATTTCTTAGTCTATTTTCTATGGAAGAAAAGTAGTATGCTTCAATTATTTTGCTTTGCTTCATAAATGGTGTGTTTTTTCTTTTCTTTTTTTTTGGTGTGTTTTTTCTTGATAAAATGAGACTTAAAATCTTTATGGGAATATATATATATATATATATATTCCTCAATGAGCCCAATGAACAAAATAGCATGCAAATCTAATTAATATTATTTAATGTAATATTATTATAAATTACACAGGCCTACTTATTTATTCACTATTACTAATGGGATATGTGGTAAACCTTTGCCTTTTTAAAAAAGTAATTTATGATTTGTATTCCTTTATACATATGTATTTATTTTTCTAGCTTTATTAAAGTATACATGAGAAATAAAATTTGTGTGTATTTAAGTTGAGCAATGTGATGAATTTGGTTTAAGCTTTTATTTATTTTATTTTATTTTATTTTATTATTTTTAAAAAGATTTTATTTATTTATTTGACAGAGAGAGAGCACAAGCAGGCAGACAGGCAGGCAGAGGGAGAGGGAGAAGCAGGGAGCCTGACGTGGGGCTGGCTTCCAGGACCCTGTGGGATCATGACCTGAACCAAAGGCAGATACTTAACCGACTGAGCCACTCAGGTGTCCTAAAGTTTTTATTTTAATTCCAGTTAGTTAATTTGCAGTAGTACAGTACAGTGATTTAGCAGTTCCACATGTCACCCTGTGCACATCCCCACAAGTACATGTGATGTTTTGGTATATGTGTGAAATGATTACCACAATCAAGCTAATTAACACATCCATCGCTTAACACCATTATTAATTTTTGCGTGTGGTGAGACCTCTTATGATCTACCCGCTTAGAAAATTTCAAGTGTACAGTCTGGTATTGTTAGCTATAGTCATCATGCTGTACCTTAGGTTTCCAGAAGGATTTATTTTTTTTTTAATTTTTTTTTATTGTTTTATTTATTTATGATAGTCACACAGAGAGAGAGAGAGAGAGAGAGAGAGAGAGAGAGAGGCAGAGACACAGACAGAGGGAGAAGCAGGCTC